AAATGGCCATTCTAGCTCCATTTAATTCAAAATTTCATAGCAGAATCAATTAAATTTTTTGTGCGTTATCGATTCTCAATGCTTTAGTGAATATGAAAAAAAATTGCTGTTTTGTTTTGCTCTTATTAATCACGCAGCTGTGAGGTGTCAAGCAGAGCACATGGTGCATCAGCTGATGAAATCGACTTTTGGCGCGCTTTAGTGAAGCTGGCCAAAATTTTTACAAAAAGTAAACAAACAAAGTTTAACATAAATTTTTTGTGGATTATTTATTTATAAGCTTGAAGCTATTTATTAAAAATTAGTTTATGACGTTTGATAACATGTGTTAGTTTAAAATAGCTCTACAAATCGACCTTTGGGAAATTCTGCTTCAGAACACGCATTGCAGTTTTTGGTGGAGTGCACCTTGGTACTTGAAAGCGCTTAAGTTTCAATTCCTTTTAATATACATTCTTTAAGGTATTGTAAATGCGAAATATTCAATTTGATCTGCCTATAGCTGCCTATAACAACAAAATTTCATTTTTAGGAAATGTCTATCCCTAGAAGACACATTTTTTCTGTTTGGTACAGCGAAAAGGTCGCTACCAAAAAGTGTGCTGCTGTTGAGAAATACGTTTTTTCCAATGTATTTAATAATAATAATTATTCTCAACTAGAATATAAAGCAGTAAATCAGAGGATTTACTCATTTGTAGCACAGTTGCAGCAAAAATGGAAAAGAGCTCATAGGACATTGGAAATTTTCGAGAAATATAACAAGGAGTGGTTAGATGCTGACTCCATATATTTATGTAGAACCGGAAAAAGCTGTACGTTCAGTTGGAAGACCGTCAAAAGAGTTTGAAGATTGTTCATTGAAAACTAAATTGAACAAAGCTAAATCTCTTGCAAACGAAGCAACCAATGAAGAACTCATGTTGGCGGCACGTGTGAGCTTGTACAAAGCTGGGAAGAGAAATGCTTCTAGAGCTGTATCATTGCTTAGTTCAGATGAAGAGGTCGTGGCAAAAACAATAAAATGTGAAAGCAGTGATCCCAAACTTCCTATTAAGTTCAGCCCTGAGGAAGCTTTGGCGATTTATATTGATGGGCGCTTCACAAAACATTCATATAAGCTAGTACAAGCAAAAACTAGATCTAACAATGCAAATGTTTTTCCAAGCTACGATTTGTTGAGAACAGCAAAACTAATGTGCTATCCGAAAGACGTAAAAGTTACTGACTCTTCAGCAGAAGTGCCTTTACAGTGCCTAGTTGACCACACCGTTTCAAGAATCGTGCAATCAAGCAAAATTATTTTCGAAAAAATGAACGAAACGGATAATATAATTACTGCCGTGCACAAATGGGGCTGTGACGGAAGTAGTGGCCATTCCATGTATCGTCAAGGCTACAGCGAGTTTGAAGAAAATAAAACCGATGAATATATGTTCACGATTTGTATTGTGCCCCTACAAATAAACATGGGACCAATTGTAATATGGCAGAATTCACGTCCTTCCTCTACCAGATTTTGTAGACCAATAAAAATAGTGTGCGAAAAAGAAACATCTTCCTTGGTGAAATTGGAAGTTGATAAAATAAATAAACAAATATTAGAAATCCTTCCGACAACATTCCAAAATTTTCAAATCCAACATAAGTTTCACATGACAATGATTGATGGAAAAATATTTAGTGTCATTGCTGAGTCTTCCAACCAAACATGTGGTATTTGCGGTGCAACTCCCTCAGTAATGAACAACCTGAAAAGTCGAACACCTGATACAAATTTGTATCAGTATGGACTCTCTACATTGCATGCGTGGATAAGATGCCTTGAATGTATCCTTCACATAGCTTATAGGCTTCCTTTTGAAAAATGGCAGATTCGAAAATCCGATAAGGATGCAGCTGAGCAGCACAAAAAACATATACAAAATCGTGTAAAGAAAGAAATGTCTTTATTGGTAGATATACCAATGCCTGGAGCCGGAAATACTAATAATGGAAACACAGCAAGAAGATTTTTCCAACAGCCAACATTAGCAAGCGAAATAACTGGTGTCGACGAAAATCTAATTCACAGATTTAGTGTGATACTCAGAACTATGGCATGTGGTTATAAAGTCAATACCGAGGTTTATCGGGTTTTTTGCTTTCAGACAGCTGAAATATTTGTTGAAAAATACCCATGGTTCTATATGCCATCCTCTGTTCACAAAATTTTATTGCATGGAGCGGATATAATTAATTGCGTTGGACTTCCTATTGGCATGATGTCTGAAGAAGCATTGGAGGCACGTAATAAAGATCTTCGGAACATAAGGCAGAATCACACCCGAAAGTCTTCACGAAAAAATACAATGGAAGATTTAGTGCATGCTCTCCTTTTTACATCTGACCCATTAATTTCGAACCTATCCAAATCATCGTCCAGGCTTTCCCGAAAAAATATAGAGTTGGATAAAGAGGTTAAAGATATGTTATTCGACGTCAACTTAGAAGAAGTTAATAGTTCCGATAGTTCGGATTCCGAATAATTATGTATATTTTGTATATTTTAAACTTTATTATTCGTATCTAAATAAATAAAAACAACATAAATCTTGAATATGTATAAGTTATACAATCATATGCTATGGAGTTATGATGCATAAAATCATCTTTACGATTTTATCACATATGTGAACATTTTTGACCGATCGGGCCTATAGCTGCCTTATGATATAGTTGACCGATTCGAATGAAATTTGGTAGAGACATTCGGCTAATAGCAATCGTCTTAAGTTCCAAATTTCATTGCGATATCTTTTAAGATACGCTTGTTATTAATTAAATGCCGCTAGAATGGCCATTTCGCCCACTGTGCAACAGTCCCAATCAATGAGATAATAGATGGGCGTAACGATAAGGTCTTCGAAGTCAAATTGGCTATGAACATAATAAATATAAATAAAATTCCCCAGCCAATGTTCACAGTAGAACTGACAGCTGAAAGTATGCATATAAGTAAAAATGAAGTTCACCCAATATACAAGCTTAAATATCTACTGCACCGTAGTGTTAGATGTTAGCAACATAAGTATTATTTCACCATCCATTGAAATGTATTCACATACACACTAACACTACCTCACCCGAATGTATGTATGCTCAGAGAGCGCTTGAGAGAGTAATAAAGTCAGTTCGATTTTAGTTCTCACCCTGAACACAACGTTTTCTCCATACCGAAACACAACATTTTGGCGACGAGGATAAAACAACAACAATGGATAGAAATTCCACAGACATAAGTGCATTGTTGGCTCAACAGCAACAATTCACAGAAAAGTTAATGCAACAGCAACAACAATGGATGGAAGCCATGCTCGCACAAAACAATGGTGTTAATAGATCAGCAGAATTAACAGCTTGTCCGCCGTTCCCAAGTTTTAATAAGGATCAACAAAATTGGGAGACATATTTACAACAAATTTCGCAGCATTTCGCCGCGTATTCCGTTACCTCCGTCGAGAAACAAAAAGCATATCTTCTATCGTGGGTAGGCTCAAAAGTTTTTGAACTTGTAAAAAATCTGTTTGGTAGCGAACATTTGGACCAGCAGTCATATACACAAATCACAGACAAATTATCGGAGCACTTCAAACAGAAGCGTCACATTGTTGCTGCTCGATATGAATTTTTTAAACGTCAGATGCGGGACTCACAATCACATAAGGAATGGGTAGCTGATCTACGTGGTATAGCTCGTGAGTGTCAGTTTGCTTGCAACGCCAATGGGTGTACATACAATTATGTTGACGAAATGATACGCGATCAAATAATTGTACACACGCCATTCGAAGCCGTACGCACAGCCGCTTTGCAAAAGCTTCAGCCTTCCCTCGCTGACGTACTCGCAATTGCCGAAACGTACGAGGCAACAACGAAAACAGTCGCGGTCATAAAGGAGAGAGAGAACAAAGCACTGGACATGAACGCTGTACACACACATAAGCAACATCAACAGAAACGAAGTGGTATGGAAACAAAAGAAGGCAAGAACACTCTCAAATCTTGCTCCGGTTGTGGAAACACGCACACTCGTGAAAATTGTAAATTTCGCGAGGCTACTTGCCATAAATGTGGAAGAAAGGGACACATAGCTATCGTTTGCATGTCAAAGCAGTGCAAAGATATGAAAGAAAAAACCTGGAAAGAGAATGATCACCAAAAATACCAAAACAAAGCAAAACATGCAGAATCAGTTCAAACAATTCACATCGTGTCAAACCTGGTGCAGTTGGATGGAAATAAAAATTTAATCGACCTGCAAATCTTCAACGAAATCATTTCTTTCCAAATGGATTCTGGCGCAACTGTGTCTGTTATGAATTTGAAAACTTACAAACAACTCAAAAGTCCAAAGCTGCGGAAGTGTGATCGCATTTTGCATGCGTTTGGCCAACAACAAATCCCCGTGCTGGGTGAATTGCACACTGTGGCAAAGTGTGGCAATAAATTGGCAAATGTTGTCATAATCGTGACAAATGTAGAAAACTCAAATAATCTGTTCGGAATGGATTTGTTTCAGACATTCAATTTCGAAATTCAACAAATTTCAAATGTGAGTCAAGTGCAGGGTTCTCAAATGACTGATCTTTGTAACAAGTACAAAGAAGTATTTGAACCGGCTATCGGTACAATAAAAAACTTTAAGGCAAGCATCTACTTAAAGCAAAATTTCGTGCCGAAATTCTACAAAAGCAGACCAATTCCACAGTGGGCGAAATGGCCATTCTAGCTCCATTTAATTCAAAATTTCATAGCAGAATCAATTAAATTTTTTGTGCGTTATCGATTCTCAATGCTTTAGTGAATATGAAAAAAAATTGCTGTTTTGTTTTGCTCTTATTAATCACGCAGCTGTGAGGTGTCAAGCAGAGCACATGGTGCATCAGCTGATGAAATCGACTTTTGGCGCGCTTTAGTGAAGCTGGCCAAAATTTTTAAAAAAAGTAAACAAACAAAGTTTAACATAAATTTTTTGTGGATTATTTATTTATAAGCTTGAAGCTATTTATTAAAAATTAGTTTATGACGTTTGATAACATGTGTTAGTTTAAAATAGCTCTACAAATCGACCTTTGGGAAATTCTGCTTCAGAACACGCATTGCAGTTTTTGGTGGAGTGCACCTTGGTACTTGAAAGCGCTTAAGTTTCAATTCCTTTTAATATACATTCTTTAAGGTATTGTAAATGCGAAATATTCAATTTGATCTGCCTATAGCTGCCTATAACAACAAAATTTCATTTTTAGGAAATGTCTATCCCTAGAAGACACATTTTTTCTGTTTGGTACAGCGAAAAGGTCGCTACCAAAAAGTGTGCTGCTGTTGAGAAATACGTTTTTTCCAATGTATTTAATAATAATAATTATTCTCAACTAGAATATAAAGCAGTAAATCAGAGGATTTACTCATTTGTAGCACAGTTGCAGCAAAAATGGAAAAGAGCTCATAGGACATTGGAAATTTTCGAGAAATATAACAAGGAGTGGTTAGATGCTGACTCCATATTTTATGTAGAACCGGAAAAAGCTGTACGTTCAGTTGGAAGACCGTCAAAAGAGTTTGAAGATTGTTCATTGAAAACTAAATTGAACAAAGCTAAATCTCTTGCAAACGAAGCAACCAATGAAGAACTCATGTTGGCGGCACGTGTGAGCTTGTACAAAGCTGGGAAGAGAAATGCTTCTAGAGCTGTATCATTGCTTAGTTCAGATGAAGAGGTCGTGGCAAAAACAATAAAATGTGAAAGCAGTGATCCCAAACTTCCTATTAAGTTCAGCCCTGAGGAAGCTTTGGCGATTTATATTGATGGGCGCTTCACAAAACATTCATATAAGCTAGTACAAGCAAAAACTAGATCTAACAATGCAAATGTTTTTCCAAGCTACGATTTGTTGAGAACAGCAAAACTAATGTGCTATCCGAAAGACGTAAAAGTTACTGACTCTTCAGCAGAAGTGCCTTTACAGTGCCTAGTTGACCACACCGTTTCAAGAATCGTGCAATCAAGCAAAATTATTTTCGAAAAAATGAACGAAACGGATAATATAATTACTGCCGTGCACAAATGGGGCTGTGACGGAAGTAGTGGCCATTCCATGTATCGTCAAGGCTACAGCGAGTTTGAAGAAAATAAAACCGATGAATATATGTTCACGATTTGTATTGTGCCCCTACAAATAAACATGGGACCAATTGTAATATGGCAGAATTCACGTCCTTCCTCTACCAGATTTTGTAGACCAATAAAAATAGTGTGCGAAAAAGAAACATCTTCCTTGGTGAAATTGGAAGTTGATAAAATAAATAAACAAATATTAGAAATCCTTCCGACAACATTCCAAAATTTTCAAATCCAACATAAGTTTCACATGACAATGATTGATGGAAAAATATTTAGTGTCATTGCTGAGTCTTCCAACCAAACATGTGGTATTTGCGGTGCAACTCCCTCAGTAATGAACAACCTGAAAAGTCGAACACCTGATACAAATTTGTATCAGTATGGACTCTCTACATTGCATGCGTGGATAAGATGCCTTGAATGTATCCTTCACATAGCTTATAGGCTTCCTTTTGAAAAATGGCAGATTCGAAAATCCGATAAGGATGCAGCTGAGCAGCAAAAAACATATACAAAATCGTGTAAAGAAAGAAATGTCTTTATTGGTAGATATACCAATGCCTGGAGCCGGAAATACTAATAATGGAAACACAGCAAGAAGATTTTTCCAACAGCCAACATTAGCAAGCGAAATAACTGGTGTCGACGAAAATCTAATTCACAGATTTAGTGTGATACTCAGAACTATGGCATGTGGTTATAAAGTCAATACCGAGGTTTATCGGGTTTTTTGCTTTCAGACAGCTGAAATATTTGTTGAAAAATACCCATGGTTCTATATGCCATCCTCTGTTCACAAAATTTTATTGCATGGAGCGGATATAATTAATTGCGTTGGACTTCCTATTGGCATGATGTCTGAAGAAGCATTGGAGGCACGTAATAAAGATCTTCGGAACATAAGGCAGAATCACACCCGAAAGTCTTCACGAAAAAATACAATGGAAGATTTAGTGCATGCTCTCCTTTTTACATCTGACCCATTAATTTCGAACCTATCCAAATCATCGTCCAGGCTTTCCCGAAAAAATATAGAGTTGGATAAAGAGGTTAAAGATATGTTATTCGACGTCAACTTAGAAGAAGTTAATAGTTCCGATAGTTCGGATTCCGAATAATTATGTATATTTTGTATATTTTAAACTTTATTATTCGTATCTAAATAAATAAAAACAACATAAATCTTGAATATGTATAAGTTATACAATCATATGCTATGGAGTTATGATGCATAAAATCATCTTTACGATTTTATCACATATGTGAACATTTTTGACCGATCGGGCCTATAGCTGCCTTATGATATAGTTGACCGATTCGAATGAAATTTGGTAGAGACATTCGGCTAATAGCAATCGTCGTTTAAGTTCCAAATTTCATTGCGATATCTTTTAAGATACGCTTGTTATTAATTAAATGCCGCTAGAATGGCCATTTCGCCCACTGTGCAACAGTCCCAATCAATGAGATAATAAAGGGGGGCAATAATGTTTTCTTCGAAGTCAAATTGGCTATGAACATAATAAATATAAATAAAATTCCCCAGCCAATGTTCAGAGTAGAACTGACAGCTGAAAGTATGCATATAAGTAAAAATGAAGTTCACCCAATATACAAGCTTAAATATCTACTGCACCGTAGTGTTAGATGTTAGCAACATAAGTATTATTTCACCATCCATTGAAATGTATTCACATACACACTAACACTACCTCACCCGAATGTATGTATGCTCAGAGAGCGCTTGAGAGAGTAATAAAGTCAGTTCGATTTTAGTTCTCACCCTGAACACAACGTTTTCTCCATACCGAAACACAACATTTTGGCGACGAGGATAAAACAACAACAATGGATAGAAATTCCACAGACATAAGTGCATTGTTGGCTCAACAGCAACAATTCACAGAAAAGTTAATGCAACAGCAACAACAATGGATGGAAGCCATGCTCGCACAAAACAATGGTGTTAATAGATCAGCAGAATTAACAGCTTGTCCGCCGTTCCCAAGTTTTAATAAGGATCAACAAAATTGGGAGACATATTTACAACAAATTTCGCAGCATTTCGCCGCGTATTCCGTTACCTCCGTCGAGAAACAAAAAGCATATCTTCTATCGTGGGTAGGCTCAAAAGTTTTTGAACTTGTAAAAAATCTGTTTGGTAGCGAACATTTGGACCAGCAGTCATATACACAAATCACAGACAAATTATCGGAGCACTTCAAACAGAAGCGTCACATTGTTGCTGCTCGATATGAATTTTTTAAACGTCAGATGCGGGACTCACAATCACATAAGGAATGGGTAGCTGATCTACGTGGTATAGCTCGTGAGTGTCAGTTTGCTTGCAACGCCAATGGGTGTACATACAATTATGTTGACGAAATGATACGCGATCAAATAATTGTACACACGCCATTCGAAGCCGTACGCACAGCCGCTTTGCAAAAGCTTCAGCCTTCCCTCGCTGACGTACTCGCAATTGCCGAAACGTACGAGGCAACAACGAAAACAGTCGCGGTCATAAAGGAGAGAGAGAACAAAGCACTGGACATGAACGCTGTACACACACATAAGCAACATCAACAGAAACGAAGTGGTATGGAAACAAAAGAAGGCAAGAACACTCTCAAATCTTGCTCCGGTTGTGGAAACACGCACACTCGTGAAAATTGTAAATTTCGCGAGGCTACTTGCCATAAATGTGGAAGAAAGGGACACATAGCTATCGTTTGCATGTCAAAGCAGTGCAAAGATATGAAAGAAAAAACCTGGAAAGAGAATGATCACCAAAAATACCAAAACAAAGCAAAACATGCAGAATCAGTTCAAACAATTCACATCGTGTCAAACCTGGTGCAGTTGGATGGAAATAAAAATTTAATCGACCTGCAAATCTTCAACGAAATCATTTCTTTCCAAATGGATTCTGGCGCAACTGTGTCTGTTATGAATTTGAAAACTTACAAACAACTCAAAAGTCCAAAGCTGCGGAAGTGTGATCGCATTTTACATGCGTTTGGCCAACAACAAATCCCCGTGCTGGGTGAATTGCACACTGTGGCAAAGTGTGGCAATAAATTGGCAAATGTTGTCATAATCGTGACAAATGTAGAAAACTCAAATAATCTGTTCGGAATGGATTTGTTTCAGACATTCAATTTCGAAATTCAACAAATTTCAAATGTGAGTCAAGTGCAGGGTTCTCAAATGACTGATCTTTGTAACAAGTACAAAGAAGTATTTGAACCGGCTATCGGTACAATAAAAAACTTTAAGGCAAGCATCTACTTAAAGCAAAATTTCGTGCCGAAATTCTACAAAAGCAGACCAATTCCATTTGCTCAAATGGAAAAGTTCAAGGAGGAAGTTAAGCGTCTCACAGATGCCGGTATTTGGAAAGCAGTCAAATTCAGCAACTGGGCATCACCAATAGTACTAGCACCCAAGCCAGGTACGGATCTGTGGCGACTTCAAACAAGGTGTCAATTCACAATTGGACATCGAGCAATATCCACTGCCAACACGTAAGTCTTTATTACATACGATCCGTCACGGCACCCATTTCTCCAAAATCGACTTGAAAGACGCATATCTTCAAATGGAGTTAGATGATGCGGCAAAAGAACTTATGGTCGTCAGCACGCCATTGGGTCTCTTCCAATACCAACGTTTACCATATGGAATAGCGAGCGCTCCAGCTATATTCCAGCGTCATCTTGAACAACTTCTGAGTGGCATAGAAGGTTGTGGAAATTCTACGAGAGAATGGCATTAAATGTAAGAGGGAGAAGTGTTTCTTCTTGAGAGACGAAATTGAGTATCTCGGAAGAAGAGTAAGCATCAAGGGCATCCTTCCGGATACCTCGGGACTAGAAGCTGTCAAGCAATTGAAACCCCCCATTAATCTACAGCAGCTGGATGCTTTCATGGGAAAAGTTAACTACTACTGCAATTTCATCCCCAATTTTTCTCAGCTAGCGTCTCCGCTCAATCAGCTTCGAAGGAAGAACGTAGTCTTCAAATTCGGTCGGAGTCAGCAGCAGGCTTTTACAGCTTTAAAAGCACACATTCTCAACGCTACAGAACTAGCACATTTCAACGAACATCTACCGCTTGTTCTAGCCACCGATGCATCTTCATATGGCATTGGTGCGGTCTTGTCACACACTCAAGCAGATGGTAAGGAAAGACCAATAGCATTTGCATCTAAAACCTTAGATGTCCACCAGGTTCGATACAGCCAAATAGAAAAGGAAGCACTTTCGATTGTATTTGGGGTAAAGAAATTCCATCAGTACCTTTACGGCAGAAAGTTTATTCTCATTACGGATCACAAGCCATTGGTCACGATATTCAACCCAAGCAAGCATCTGCCTACGATGACTTCGAACAGGCTTCAACGTTGGGCTATAATCTTGATGGCATACAACTTTGAAATAAGGTATCGCAGCACCACAGCTCATGGAAATGCAGACGCACTCTCACGTCTTCCTATCAGCTCGGATGAAAAGTTCGACACAGAAGAGGCATGCTACAATGTCGTCGAGATGTCATGTCCAATAAATGCCGACATAATCTTGCAACATCTTCAAAACGACCGTACTCTAAAAAAGGTCTATCAATTCGTATCTACTGGTTGGCCAGAACAACAGCAGGATCTCGAAATGTTGCCATATTATAATCGTAGATTCGCCCTGACGATTAACAACAAGCTACTATGTCTCCATTCTGACGTAAATAGAATCATCATTCCTCAAACACTACGGAATAAGATTGTAAATATCCTCCACGAGGGTCATTGGGGAATAGTACGCATGAAACAACTGGCACGACAACACGTGTGGTGGCCAGGTATCGACGATGATATCGCAACAATTGCAAAGGATTGTAGCGTTTGCAAGATAGGCAATCCAGCCCCAGTAAAGGAATTCCAGAGCTGGCCAAAAACGACATCCGCCTGGGAAAGAATACACATCGACTTTGCCGGTCCTATATTTGACTCCATGTGGTTAATTTGCGTCGATGCACATTCTCAGTTTCCGTTCGTAGTACAAATGACAGCGACAACAACAGAAAACACTATAGCCGCACTTACAGCCATTTTTGCCATTGAGGGTTATCCTAAAACTTTAGTCAGTGATAACGGGCCTCAACTTACATCCGACTCGTTTAATCAGTTCTGTCAGCTACATGGAATAAGCCACATCACAACCGCTTCGTCCAAACATTCAAAACGTCCGTCAGCCAAAATATAAAGGATGGATATCGAGTCAACACAGCCGTAACAAAGTACCTCAGCACGTATCGTTTCACACCTAACTCTGAAGGAAAAACACCTGCAGAACTTCTTCATGGTCGTCCGGTTCGAACGATCTTAAGTCAACTCTTCGAGAAGAGATCTGAAAGCAAGCAGACGCAGCAAACAAAGTAATCTCCTAATCAGAAAGTTTTTGCCAGAAACTATGCAAGGGGAGAAAAGTGGATAAAAGCTATCATCGATCGGCCTATAGGTCGTATGTTATTTATCCTTCGTTCATCCACAGGTTTCATCAAGCGCCACATAAACCAGATAAAGCCAAGATCTGACCCTGATAACTGCAGCTCCAGCTACAACGAGGACAACAATAAGTTTTGGTGGGCTCCTGAAGTCTCAAGTTCGCCCGCAACTCCGACGACACTAACCCAAGAAGAAGAACCGTCATCCGATCCAGTACAGAATTCTCAATCTATTGCTGGCTCCAACGAAGTGCCTGCAGCATCTACACAAAACGTTCTACAACAACCCCAACAACGACGTTCGGGTATCCCCATCCGTAGCAGCACTCGCCAACGCAGAGTCCCCAGCCGCTACTCACCTTAGCCTTAGAGGAAACGTAAAAATTATTAACAAACCGTAATTTAAGGGGAGAGATGTGTTATATGTTAGCAACATAAGTATTATTTCACCATCCATTGAAATGTATTCACATACACACTAACACTACCTCACCCGAATGTATGTATGCTCAGAGAGCGCTTGAGAGAGTAATAAAGTCAGTTCGATTTTAGTTCTCACCCTGAACACAACGTTTTCTCCATACCGAAACACAACACGTAGGATCACCGTTGAGGAACCACACAAACGAAATAGACCGGTCCAATGCACAAATTGACAGGAATATGGACACACGAAAACCTATTGCACTCTACGGGCAGTCTGCGTTGTCTGTGGTGATGTTCATCTCACTGAGGCCTGCCCCGTAAATAAGGACGACCCATCTGCCAAAAAATGCAGCTACTGTGGGGGAAACCATACTGCCAACTATAGAGGTTGTCCTCTCTATAGGGAATTGAAAAGTCGCCTACACCAACAAATAACTGCAGCTCGAAACCCGGTCGTCCGAAAAAACTTACCATATACGACTCCAGGAGTTTCTTTTGCTCAGGCGTTAAGTTACAACAACGGGTCGTACGCCTCAGTCTCTACGCCGACACTTCAACCAACCACAGCTGGAATAATGCAGCATCAGGCATCAAATCAGAACCCAGAAATCTCTGCCCAAAATACCCCTGCTAATCCATCCCAATTGCCTAGTGGAATTGAGTCAATGCTGGTAACTATAACAAACACAATGGTAGCAATACAACAAACGATGCAGGAGCTTATGCGCAACCAAAATCTCCTCCTGGAGCTCCTAATCAAACAGAAATCTGTTTAAATGGCCTGTCTAAATATATGTTTCTGGAATTCAAATGTCATTTCGCAGCACAAATGCGAGCTCTTATAGTTCCTCGCTCAACACGACATTGACGCCATGCTCATATCAGAGACTCACCTAACAAATAAAAACTATTTTCACCTCGATGGCTATAACTTCTATGCGACAAATCATCCCGATGGTAAGGCACATGGAGGTACTGGCGTTCTGATCAAGAATCGCATTAGGCATTATCCATTGCCTTCATTTGCTACACCTTATCTACAGGCAACAGCAATTCATATTGAAATTCAGAGCGGCTACCTAAACCTAGCCGCTGTATACTGCCCACCACGCTTCTGCATTTCCGAAACAGATTTTGTAACATTCTTCGACCTACTAGGTGACCAATTTATAGCAGCTGGTGACTACAAGAAGACAACTATATAAGGCTATAATAACCCCACTAAACAAGCTAGACTTTATCTTTCCGGGCAAGCCCACATATTGGCCCACAGATCGAAAAAAGCAACCCGTCTTGATTGATTTTGCAGTTACACGAAGGGTGCTGCAAGCTCAGATTAATGTAGATCACTTAACAGATCTATCATACAGGAAATACAGGAAGTACATAAGCTCTCATATTGATAGCTGCCCAAACATTAATTGTAAAGATGACATTGATAGGTCAGTCGAAGCCTTAGTATCCTCAATGTCACTGGCGGCAAAACACTCAACACCAATATTAGCATCTAATAAACTTTCCAACAGCAGTCGTATTTCTAGACACTTTGAAGTGCTGCTACGCGATAAAAGAAGGCTTCGCCGTGAGTGGCAAGCACACAGATCACCTGCCTAGAAAGAGCGGCTAAAAATAGCCAATCACCTACTACGCAGAGCCCTAGAAGATGAAAAAAACCGAGCTCAAATATCCTATATGGAGCAACTCTCCCCAACTAGCAAACGATTCCCACTGTGGAAAGCAAAATCAGGCGTATGCCCACCAATCGAGAGTGAATCACACTCAAACAGGAGAGTGGGCTCGCAGCAACAAAGAGAAGGCAAATATATTTGCAATCCATCTAGAAAACGTCTTCAAACCACACCCAGCAACAAATAGCTTTGTGCTCCGACCAATCAACAATCCCGAAGCTACTCCGCCTATCATATTCCAATCAGGAGAAGTCACAGGGGTCATTAAAGACCAAATCTCAAAGCAAAAGAAAGCTCCGGGCCACGATTTCATCTCCCCTAAAATGATCATAGAATTTCCGAGCTGTGCAGTGTATTTCCTTACTGTGATATTCAACAGCATGATGAAATGGGGCTATTATCCTCAAGAATGGAGGAAATCAGTCATTACAATGGTCCATAAAGCCGGAAAAGACAAGTCCAAGCCATCATCATATAGACCTATCAGCCTACTGCCTTGCCTATCAAAGATATTTGAAAAGCTGCACCTGAATCGTATCAAACAACACCTACACATCAACGGTGCCATCCCGACTCACCAACTTGGATTTCGCGAAAAACACGGAACCATTGAACAAGTAAACCGTATAACCTCTGAGATACGAAATGCATTTGAAAGACGGATGTTGCTCCGCTGTTTTTCTGGATGTCGCCCAGGCGTCGGTTAGATGCGTTTGGTTAGATGGCTTATAGCCTTTTCACACTGGGGACCATCCACCATCCACCATCAATTTCTGGGATGGTCCGTAAGGTTTTGCCGTTCCGAAAATTTCCCAGTTATTCCACCATCCATCTGGGATGTTCCTAATTCTCACGTTTCAGTGCGGTATTTTTTCGATAATTGTCAAATGCAACCATATTTCACAACAAAAAATCGGAGATCACTACGAAAATGTAAACAATGACAGACAGGAAAATATAAAAATAAAACAAAATAACCCCATCAGATCTCACAAAGCACGCAAAAAATAAAAAAATATCAAATAAAAATAGAAGGAGCAGTAAATGGCGGTGGTAAGTTTAATAGATATAATTTTTGAATACCCATATATCACAATATTGCAGCACATAAGAAAACAGCCAGTGGAAGGGTCAAGTGGACCACAGAAATGGAGAACCTACTCATTGACCTGTGGCAAGAAAATATAGACGATTTGCGGGGAGTCCGTAAGAACTCCCACGTTTATATGGAGATGGCCCAGACCATGAAGGAGGGGTGTGATCTCGATGTAGGATGGACAGAAGTACGAACGAAGGTTGAAAACTTGACCAAAAAATACAGGTAAATATTATTGTATTTGGTAAACAATAAATTGTTGATTCCATTTTATTTTCATACTTTGCAGGATGGAAAAAAATAAAGTGGGGCCAAGCGGAGGGGCTTCCTCTGGATGGCAGCATTTCGAGAAGTATATAAAGATATGGCGATACGCTTCTCCAGAGGAATTGCAGCTCGGCAGTTTGTGTCCTTCTTCCGTAGCACTTCCAAGCGAGTAACCAACAGAGAAAAGCAGGATCTCTCCATCCTAAAACGTTCCTTAAAAAACGCCTCGTTGTTTTCGGGTACATCCTTCTCCCAAAATGTATCGAACCGCTTATGAAAAACATAACATATATATTTGTACTTTAAACATTGGTTGCATTTATTAGAAGCACTCACAAATGACCACAACCTTCCGGGCTTCAGTGTTTTTAAAACAGATATCCATTCTATTATCTCCTCCTCGTCAAAGTTATCCTCATCATCATCGTCCATGTCCAACAACATGATTAGCTTGTGCAAGAATATGTTTTGCTGCTGAATCACATTCACGACCATTGAAATGTTATTTATATTCATTTTAATTAAAGTAAAGAAACTTTCACCGCACGCAATTGTGAGCAACAGCTGTTTCTCATGGATGGTGGATGGTCGATGGTGTCAATGTGAATCGGTGTTTCACATCTTTCAAAAATTCCCACCGTTCCCCCAGGATGGACTCAGTGTGCAGAGAGTATTAATCCACAAAATCAAAATATTACTTCCACAGAACATCCATGGAATATTGGAGTCATACCTACAGCAAAGAAGTTTCGCAGTACGATGCAAAGATTTCCTCTCTGAATATCATCCAATTGAAGCTGGTGTACCGCAAGGCAGCGTGCTTGGACCGGCACTGTATATCATATTCACAGCAGATCTTCCGACAAACAGCCTAACAACAACTTCGACATTTGCTGATGACACTGCCATGTTAAGTCGCCCCAAGTGCCCAAGAAGGGCCACGGATCACTTATCATCTCATCTCGTGGCCTTAGAAAAATGGCTAGCATACTGGCGGATACATGTAAATGAGCAAAAGTGCAAGCATGTCACCTTAACGTTACACAGACAAGCTTGCCCTCCATTATGTCTGAACAATATGAACATTCCACAAACCACCGAAGTAACATACCGTGCTGTTCATCTGGATAGAAGGCTTACTTGGCGTAAACACATCGAAGCGAAGAGAAATCTACTTAAATTTAAAGCTAGTAATCTACATTGGCTAATAAACACCCGTTCACCGTTCACCGTTAGAAATAATCCAGAGAGCTCAATCGAAGATACTAAGAACTATCACTGGGGCACCATGGTACATACGGAATGAAAATATCCATAAAGACTTAAATGTAGGATCAGTTAAAGATGAAATTGCCAAAGTGAAAGCAAAGTACCAGGCCAAGCTTCAAGCCCATCCTAATAGACTTGCGCAGTCTTTAACTTGGCACACTAGCCATACACGACTCCGGCAAAGAGACCTCCCCACCCAGCAATAATACTTAGCTAGGGACGTACTCTAAGTAATTAAGTGTAATTAATTAAATATATATATTAGACTAAGATTTGTATACTTGTCGTCTCTAATAGGGAAGATTCGATAAATAAAATCCCTTTAAAAAAAAAAAAAACCCATGATTTTTTAGAATTTTAGAAATAACAAAAAAAATTTACATTTTAAATTTTTTTGCTACATCTGTTATTTACATCTACATATACAATGTATATTTTACATCTAACATGTAGATTACGCCTGTACCATTTAATTTCTACATCTCCTCCGTGAGGGGTTGCTGGGGTTGCACTGAACGCCGCAGAGAAGGAGAATGAATAGCGTGTCTCTGGCTGGAGGAGGTGGGGGAAGTAACTGCAAATTAATTTCTGCTTTGCGGCTATAATTATGATGCGATCTGATTCAGATTCGGCAATCTGGTAGCTATGAGCATTCTCTACCATACTGCGTTTTTAGTTTTATCGTATATTTAAAAATGTGCCTACCACAGATTTTCGCCCTTGGTGGGGCGGAAGGGGGCGGGGCGAAATTTTGAAATACACTTGTAGCAGTGTGATATCACATGAGCCTTTTAGAACAAAATTTGGTTGCCCTAGCTCTTATAGTCTCTGAGATCTGAGGCGCTCAACAAGACGGACAGACAGACAGACATAGCTATATCGACTCGACTATTAATGCTGATCAATTATATATATACTTTATAGGGTCGGAAAGGTTTCCTTCTCTGCGTTACACACATCCACTTTTACCACAAATCTAATATACCCCTTAACTGTTTTTTGTGTACGGGTATAAAAACATTATATTGTTTTATTTCCACCTAATCGATAAGCATTCACATCAGTATTTTGAATTTGAAACACAGCTACAGCTAAACATATCGCTACCTTCATCACCTTCCAATCAGCTGTAGGAAGGTGGGGGTTGCAGATCTACAATACCTTGAGGATCTTCTCCGCCTTTGCAGATTTCGACGGTCCCTCGGACTGCTTGGGATGTCTTTCCATTAAACGGCCTCAAGTTTGGTCCCTGGGGAGAACTATAGATGGCCGCCGAGCGAGCAACTTGGCAGGCGATGCCTGGATGCCATCCGGCTTCCTCGCATTTCAGCGACAGAAATCTGTCCTGGAGCTCTGCATCGACGAGATGCCACTTATCCCGAGGGACGTTACCGTTCTTGGCGGCCCTGTCAAGAACGCCAATTAGGGGTTTTTCCCTGTTGCCACCTCCGCAAACGATCTGTTTTCGCCCGGTTGCCTTGCGGGCTTAGCATGGCTGTGCAGCGGGATCCTCCACTGAGCGTTGCCGTTTGTTCAAGGCCTTTGCTGCGCTCTTTCTGGCTTTGGCTGGCTGGAAGTCCGGGATGATTTAGCTGGCCCTGAGCCTCTGCTCAATCCTCTTGGCTGATGACCTGAAGTCCGGGTCGTCATGGGACAGGATGAAAGCAGCGCGCCTCTGTCTTGGTAGGATGGTTTCTTTCCCTGTGTCGCAGGTCCGCCGCCTGCCGCGGTTGACGGAAGCTCCCCGGTAACAAGACGCTTACCAGCCGCGATTACGCTCTGCTTGGCAGCCACCCCGATAACCGGTTTGCCCTCGGTGTCCCTCAACGTGGATAGGCCCGATTAGCTTATCGGAGCCGTCCTCGCAGCGGTTTCTGCTTGAAGACGGAGAGCCGACTTATTCTCCTTCCCCGTACTATCACCCTAATGGCTGATAGCTACTCTGTTAGTCGGGATGGAGACAAATTGAACAAATCAAATAAATACCATTAAAATCGGTCCAGCCGTTCTCAAGTTATAGGTGATCGTTAGTTAGATATAACTAAGGTACGAGGGCTATCCCAGAAATAGCCGACCTAACAACTAAAACATAGACATTTTGACTTATTTTATTTTTATATTTCAACGACTCCTTTTGGCTCTATATGCTTTTTCCAACATTTTTCCCATTTTGTTATCCTTTTTAAGATGGCCAGAACTGGTACTACAATCCCCCTTCTCCAAGATAAGGAGGACAATGGCCAATTGTAGGCACATGATAAAAGAGCACTTTAAGCTAATAGTAGACAATAGGTGGCAAACAGTGCCACAATTTGGCATAACTCGGCAAAAATGGCATAGAATCACAAAAAAGCGCACCGCTAAGCCCTGCAAACTCAGCAGAAAAGGTGCAGCTCAGTCATACGCTCCCTCACAGGATATTTGATTCTGGTCTTCCCGCAGAATGGTTGTGTCCTAAGCGCTGGGCGTTCTATCCTCCGGTTGTAATCACTGATGTGGGCGACGATCGGTGTGTCGTTGGCGATGGGTAAATGCAATATTTGGGATGTATTGTCTCCAGACTGGTGCCTGAATAGGCTGGTCTCGCCAACGCCTCTGGAGTCGGACCAACTACTTATTAGGGCGACGCAGATCTTGGAAATGGCTCTAGGCAAGGCTCTGTGCATAGCGCTAGGAGCTTCAGGATGCCCGGTGTCTATTGTGGCTTCCGTTGCGTGTCCTCCTATGGTTACCATCGCCACTATCCGGCCGTTGTTCACGTTGTGGAGGTTGTGATCATGCGATGTGCGATATCTTGGTTCGCCGCACTAGTTGGATTTGATTGCCGTCTCCTTGGCTAGTCTGCCGCATTCCAATCGGGTCTCCGAAAAGGTGACCGATTTGAGTCGCCGTTCCTCTTCTCTGTAGCGGGCCTTGTGTATCTCGATGTGTTCCGAGGTGGTGCGAGAGTGTTTGGGATGATCCGCTGTGACGCCCAGCGCCACCACACAAAGCGCCGGCGCCACATATAGTCCATATTATTCCTTTACATAGTCATACATTAAGTACTCGTACATTCATACATATAAATAAGATTAGAGTAAGCGAAAAAACCCTGAAGTTCCTTAATAAAAAACATAAAAAGACACCACGTTCAAATTCAAAAAGCAGCGCGCGCGCCAAAGACTAGTGTGGCCAACATTCACCGAACCACGGTCACACTAACAGCTGGGCCGGGACGCGTTATGGCAAAAACCAGAACGCGTTAGGCCCATATCGGGGCACACACAGCTGATCACCGGCAATAAAAGGAGGATCGCCAGATCGAATCGGGGCAGTCCAACTCGGAAAGCCCTGGCCTAAGAAACCAGAATTTTACAGCGGATCTTGTGCCAAAAGGAATATCTACCTTTCCACTCGTTCTGCTCAATACTTTACCTCTCCTTCCCAGAGTGTGTCCAAACCTCTGAATCCTCCCCAGAGTGTGTCCAAACCTCTGAATCCTCTCCAGAGTGTGTCCAAACCTCTGCCTCAATCTTCTCCTCAGAGCGTGTCCAAACCTCCGCATCAATCTTCTCCTCGGAGCGTGTCCAAACCTCCGCATCAATCTTCTCCTCGGAGCGTGTCCAAACCTCCGCTCATCTCTCCTCGAGCGTGTCAAACCTCCGCATCACTCTTCTCCTCGGAGTGTGCTCAAACCTCCGCATCAATCTTCTCCTCGGAGTGTGCTCAAACCTCCGCATCCATCTTCTCCTCGGAGCGTGTCCAAACCTCTGCACCAATCTTCTCCTCGGAGCGTGTCCAAACCTCCGCATCAATCTTCGCCTCGGAGCGTGTCCAAATCTCCGCATCACTCTTCTCCTCGGAGTGTGCTCAAACCTCCGCATCCATCTTCTCCTCGGAGCGTGTCCCAACCAAGGAAGATCCCGAAGGAAGCAGTGTCCCTGCTCGGGCGCCACTGTGA